TTGTATCGTTACTGCAGCGCCGCCTAGTGGCGGACAGCGGCACTGCACCCTAGCGCTGCAGAGACAAAGCTTGCACGGACTGCTGGGGCAAGTGCTCTGAGCGAGAACCTAAGAAGGCCGGCACGGCATACGAGGGTGGGGAGATGTTTACACACCGCACCAGGTACTCATTTGAGGCAGAGACAACGTGGTGGAATCGAACTCGGGACACCAGGGTTCGTAGCGCAGTGCACTAACCACTGCCCTACCTTGCCCTCTTGCGCAGCCCATACATAGCCGGTACAGCCTACACATAGCCAGCATTGCCTACACGTGGCCAATACAGCCTACACATAGCCAGCATTGCCTACACGTGGCCAATACAGCCTACACAGTCAGTGCAGCCTACATACACATAGCCAACACAGCCTACACATAGCCAGCATAGCCTACACATAGCCAGCATAGCCTACAGATAGCCAGCATTGCCTACACGTGGCCAATACAGCCTACACAGTCAGTGCAGCCTACATACACATAGCCGGCACAGCCTACACATAGCCAGCATTGCCCACACATGGCCACACAGCCTACATACACATGGCCAACACAGCCTACACATAGCCAGCATTGCCCACACATGGACATTACAGCCTACACAGTCAGTGCAGCCTACATACACATAGCCAACACAGCCTACACATAGCCAGCATAACCTACACATGGCCAACACAGCCTACATACACATAGCCAACACAGCCTACACATAGCCAGCATTGCCCACACATGGACATTACAGCCTACACAGTCAGTGCAGCCTACATACACATGGCCAATACAGCCTACACATAGCAAGCATAGCCTACACATGGCCAACACAGCCTACACATAGCAAGCATAGCCTACGCATGGCCAACACAGCCTACACATTTCGCCAGCATATCCTACACATGGCCAACACAGCCTACACATAGCCAGCATAGCCTACACATGGCCAACACAGCCTACACATAGCCAGCATAGCCTACACATGGCCAACACAGCCTACACATAGCCAGCATAGCCTACACATGGCCAACACAGCCTACATACATATGGCCAACACAGCCTACACATGGCCAACACAGCCTACACATAGCCAGCATAGCCTACACATGGCCAACACAGCCTACACATGCCAGCATAGCCTACACATGGCCAACACAGCCTACACATAGCCAGCATAGCCTACCACATGGCCAACACAGCCTACACATAGCCAGCATAGCCTACACATGGCCAACACAGCCTACACATAGCCAGCATAGCCTACACATGGCAACACAGCCTACACATAGGAAATACAGCCGATAAATTGCAAATACAGCCTACACATAGCAAACACATAGGTTAGTGAACCATGGTTAGGGCAAGTACCAGTGTCCAACTACAGTAATTCGGTATGGTTAGGGCGTGCGTCTGGTTTGATTAGGGCTAGTTGCAGTGGCTTGATGGTTAGAATGAATAGGTAGGAGAGTGCATGGAGGGGAGTGAGATGAGAGGGGAGAGGCAGGAGAGAGTGCGTGGTGGGGGAGTGGCGTGAGATGAGAGGTAGGAGAGTGAGTGGTGGGGGAGTGGAGTGAGATGAGAGATAGGAGAGGCAGGAGACTGCGTGGTGAGGGAGTGGAGTGAGATGAGAGACAGGAGAGTGCGTGGAGGGTAGTGGAGTGAGATGAGAGGTATGAGAGTGCATTTGGGGGAGTGGAGTGAGGTGAGAGGGGAGAGGCAGGAGAGTGCGTGGAGCGGAGTGGGGTGAGATGAGAGGTAGGAGAGTGCGTGGTGGGGGAGTGGAGTGAGATGAGAGATAGGAGAGGCAGGAGACTGCGTGGTGGGGGAGTGGGGTGAGATGAGAGGGGAGAGACAGGAGAGTGCGTGGAGCGGAGTGGGGTGAGATGAGACACAGGAGAGTGCGTGGTGGGGGAGTGGAGTGAGATGAGAGGTAGGAGAGTGCGTGGTGGGGGAGTGGGGTGAGATGAGAGGTAGGAGAGTGCGTGGTGGGGGAGTGGGGTGAGATGAACGTGGGCAAGGAGCCGGCAGCACGAGTGACAGGGGGGGGGGGAGTTCCCGCATATGGGAGGGCACGAGGCATTCTTTAGAAATCTCATCTTGATGTTCGTGTTTGTTTTGTGAGTTAGTTTTCGCCAGCACTGACATTTTCTGCTCTCAACCTTTGCACCGCAGATCGCCCTTGATATAAAGACATATTTGGCACACAAATTCCCGCCCAATTGCGATCCCAATCCTCGCCCATGGCCTACCCACTGCTGAATGACTTCGGCGTTCAAGCGAGAGCGGTGGGTGGTGTGTGTGTGTATATAGCGGTTCATTGTGCGTGGCGGGGAGCGGTGGTGCAATGGTTAGCGCACTACAGTGGTGACCTGAGTACGATTCCCCGGTTATGGGCAGGTCGCTAACAAGCACTGATTGCCCATGGTCGAGACTAATACCGGAGCGGCAAGCCCAAGGGATGGAACGCATCTGACTGCACGTCCACCGAGGAAGAGATGGAGCGTTGGAGATCGCTTCGTGGGCAAGGTGCTGGGGTGGATTATTACACTGGAGGAATTGGATGAGCTATGAAGCTCTTTCACAGGTGTCCCGTAGCTACATTGCGGTGCAGGATTGTGAGAGGTCTCAACTGTCAGGTTTGTTTTGTTTAACCAGGGGGGGAGGGTGATCTTGAATTACTTCATCCAGCAGTGGATTGACCATGGGCATGTGTCGGCAAACCAACGTAATGAGAAGAGCCATTTCTTAGAATTCGGTATTTTAAAAAAAACCCTCAATAAAGGGTGATTTAAAAAAAAACGTGTTAACACTTGTGAGAATTTGCATCAACGTCGCAAGAAGTTTGTCTCCTCCGGGCTCTGGAGCCCACCTGTAGAAGATCCCAGGCCACGTGTTGACAATGATGGCGAACAAGTGGTAGACTCTTTGACTTTTTGAAGATATTAACATTACATTTGTTATCACGTTACAGTGCATTATTATCCGTTTCTTTTTTCTATTAAAAAAAACGACAGTTCCGTATGAGTGTAAACTTTTTTTTAAGCAGCCTGTATTCAAAGATCCGCAGTGCGCGTGGTGAGACGGCAGTCCTGAATAATTCGTGACATCACTTACCAAGGAGCCGCAGGTTGCCCCAAACCCCCTGGGCCGATGTCTGTCGATGACGAGGGCCTTCAAAAGTCTCAAATGTATGCACGAACTCGCACTGCCGGATTATCCTAGTGGCAAAAGTAGCTACATATGCTGCATGCCCATAACCGCGTTTACCCCTTCAGGCCGACAGGTGGCACCCTGTCATTACATATGTTATAAAGGGCCCTAAATAAAAAAAAAGCACGTATATTTTAAAACACATAAATTGTTCACTTGCAGAGTAAAGTAATTGTATTTTTTTTATTTCCTATACAGCCACAGATAATACGACAAATCGCTAACTTTGAACAGCCAGTCGTTCGTAAAAGTTGAAGGCGGTATAGTACTGTAGTAATAGAGCAAGTGCAGAATCACTGAACCGGAATTGATAGCTTGAAAGTGCGGGGCCCGTAGCTACATATGTAGTAGCTACTTTTTCTACGAGGATGATCCGGCGCTGGATACAACGCGTGATGGAAAAGAACAGACTATTTATTTTATTTAACTATTTTTATTTTACCAGGTAAGGCCCGCTGAGCTATATAGTGGCTTTTTTTTTCAGAAGCGACCTGGCTATCGCAAACGATAGCTCAACGAAGTGGGCGGGTTAAATTTCGATTTGAAGCTTTCGTGACTGCAAGGATTAATCTTCTTTGGTTCTTTCGGTAAAGTCACGTAGAATGAGAATAAAATAATAAAATAACACAATAAAATTCTCACGACGTTTCGGCCACAACGCAAGCGGCCGTCTTCAGGTGAAAGGTACAGACCTGTCGGGACGACAGAGCTTCAATGTCGTCCCGACAGTTCTGTACCTTTCACCTGAAGACGGCCGCTTGCGTTGTGGCCGAAACGTCGCGAGAATTTTATTGTGTTATTTTATTATTTTATTCTCATTCTACGTGACTTTACCGAAAGAACCAAAGAAGAAGTGGGCGGGCTTACCGTGTGGACGTGCTCGGTAGTCAAAAAACTTTGAAACGCACTTTGATTCTAAATTGTGGAGGGGTGGGGGGGAAATGTTCCATCGCGAGCAATTGGAATAAATTAACAAACAACACAAAACTCAACACATTCGTCAGTAAATTTTTATTTAAAGCTTTCGCGACTGCAGTGATTCATATTCTTGGTTCTTTCGGTAAAGTCACGTTGAAGGGAAACAATAAAATAATAATATATATTGTTTGATATATATTGTTATATATATTTTATTATTTTATTGTTTCCCTTCAACGTGACTTTACCGAAAGAACTAAGAATATAACATTCGTCAGTATCAACACTCTGTGTGTGCGCTCGCGTGGCCTTAAACATTTTTTTTAATGTTTACAGGCGACGTTTCGGACCAGCGGCCATCTTCACAGTAGATAAAGTGGGCCTTCCCTCTTTAGCTTGGTCGCTTGCCCCTGGTTCTGTTTGTTTTTTTTGGTTGCTGCTTTTCATGCATTGCGCATTGGGAAGACCTCGGATGGAATGCCGCATTAGACATTTCAATGATTCATTATCATCGTTGGGGGCTGGGTGGGTGGCTAATGCCACCGTTTTGTAGTCTATGCACGAATTTCAATGCGTCTCCTCGGCCCCTCCCCTACAATCGCCCCCCCCCTCCCAAACCCCGCCCCTCACGTGAGGTTGGTGGGGGTGTGGGGGGGAGTGGCAGCAGCGCGCAGCGTTGTCTCCTGACGCGCGCCCATTGGCCGCCTCCGCCTCGCGCCATCGCACGGTAGCGTGGCGAGCCCCGCCGCAATTGGCCAAACGCGCGCGACGTCACTGAATTTCCCCTCCCCCCCCTGCACGTGTGAGCGCGCGGGAGAAACCACGTGGTGGTGGTGGTAGGGGAAGTGGTGGTGGGGAGGGGTACCCTCCCGGTGTCCCCTCCCCGCCAGCCTCCCTCAGCCACTCAGCCCTCACTCCTCACGGCATTGGCGTCAGCCCCCCACCGCGCTCTTAGACCGCCGGTGAAGTCGCCGTCCGGAGCAGTGACAAGAGAGACGCGGGCTGTTGGCGGCTGCGGCGGTGGTTGTGGTGGTGGAAGTTACAAGAACCCCAACGGCAGTCGAGGAGGTGTACCCCCCTAGTGTCAAGACGAAGAGGTTGTCGGCTCATCATCATCATCATCCTCTTCTTCCTCCTCCTCATCCTCCCTCAAGCCTAGCCGGTAAAAATAAATCTCCGAGCGCCGTCGTCTCCCCCCGTTCTTGCGACCGCTCCGCTCTCTCTGTGCGGCCCGCGCTCGCAGGCCCCACGTGAAGGGGATTGCACAAGCGGCAATTATTTCTGAGGTGATTTTATAGATTTTTTTTTTTAAAAAATGTGTTTTATAAGGCGTCCCTTAAATGTTGGGGGATTTTTGCCCCAGGGTCTTTTGGGTGTCGCAGTCCCGTTAGGTGCGCGCGGAGGTAAAGGACTACAATGGGGGGGGGGAGGTGTGAGAGGTCGTAACTGGGATTTTATCCCAAACTCGGGCGGGGGTCATTGAGGGGACTCGGGATCTGGGGGTCATTGAGGGGACCCGGGAACTGGGAGACATTGAGGAGACCTGGGAACCGGGAGTCATTGAGGGGACCCGGGAACTGGGTTCATTGAGGAAACCTGGGAACTGGGGGCATTGAGGGGACCCGGGAACTGGGAGTCATTGAGGAGACCTGGGAACTGGGTTCATTGAGGGGACCCGGGAGCTGGGGGTCATTGAGGAGACCTGGGAACTGGGAGTCATTGAGGAGACCTGGGAACTGGGGGTCATTGAGGGGACCCGGGAACTGGGAGTCATTGAGGAGACCTGGGAACTGGGTTCATTGAGGGGACCCGGGAACTGGGGGTCATTGAGGGGACCCGGGAACTGGGTTCATTGAGGAGACCTGGGAACTGGGTTCATTGAGGGGACCCGGGAGCTGGGGGTCATTGAGGAGACCTGGGAACTGGGAGTCATTGAGGAGACCTGGGAACTGGGGGTCATTGAGGGGACCCGGGAACTGGGAGTCATTGAGGAGACCTGGGAACTGGGTTCATTGAGGGGACCCGGGAACTGGGGGTCATTGAGGGGACCCGGGAACTGGGAGTCATTGAGGGGACCCGGGAGCTGGGGGTCATTGAGGGGACCCGGGTACCGGGGGGGGGTCCCCCCCCGTGACATGTGTCAGGGATTGGGGTGTAGCTGGGGTGTTGTTGGCGGGCATGACTGGAGCCGCCTCGGGTGCCTGTGGTCAGGAACTGGGGGGTCTGAGCTGCTCATAGCTGGCGTTATTAGCCTGGGGCCTCCGCGGGCGATTCAGGGGCTTGTCTGTGGTGGGGTCATGATTGGGGGGGGGGGGGCTTTGGGGTTCGAGACGGGAGTCCGTGGCGTCAGGGATGGAGCAACCAGGAGAATCTGCTCCCGGTACTGTGATGGTGATGCTGATATGACGATTCACCCAGCAGTGGATAGACTGTGGATTATGATGATTGCACGAGGATCCTTCATTCAGCAGCAGATGATGCAGCAGCAGATGATGCAGCTGCTGATCTCGTAGGCAACCCGCAATCTAGCAGTGGATAGCACATCGACGATGATGCTGATGGCATGGGGAAGTTTTCATTGTGCAGTGGGTTGACTATAATCATGATGCTGATAGAATATTGAGCCTTCATCCACCAGGGGATAGACCCCGGATGATAGTATGGATGAGCCTTCATCTTAGCAGCGGATGGGTTGATGTTCTTGACGTACAATCGGGCCAAAATTTCGGAATATTTATTTATTTATTGGAGGTATCCGACGAGCAATAAAGCTCTTTTTTTATTCACAGATGTCCTTCCGTGGATGATGCTGATTGCATGCGGGAAACCTTCATCCGGGAGTGGATAGACCGTGGGTGCATTGTTTTGAGTGACTTGCGCTCCGCAACCGAATGTAAAATTTGAAACCCTCACCGAGTCTCCTTGCGCACGAGGGCCCTGCCGCTTTGGGATGTTTGGGCCAGAATCCCGTTAATAATGCGATGAGTCGTTTGGCTTCGTGCGGGAGGAAAACGGGGAACCCGGAGAAAACCCCGTAACGCGCACACAAAACCATTGATCGGAATCAGAATATATTTATTTTTTATTTAGCCTCGAGGAAGAAATCCGATGAGTTCAGAAGCTGTTTTTTTTATCACCAGATGTCCAGTATGGGCGCGTCAGCGAGTCACAACGGCGTACAATGCGCAATACACGATCGCAGTGCAACAAAGTAGGGAAAGTGGCAAGTCGCTAAATAATTCACGATCCGAGCACTCACGTGAGTGCCCCCGTCCAGTCTTGTCAGATCACGGAAAGCTAAGCACGTTTGAACCCGGTTATTGGCCGGATGAGTAACTGCAGGTGCTCGCCAGCTATTGGGCGGTGGCGGCCACGCTGCACGTGTGCTGCGGTCCAGCACCGTGGAGGCAGCTAGGTTAGGGTTGGTGGATCGCAAACAGATGACGTGGCTCTCCCCTCCGATAAGGAGAAGGCGGCACAGCAAAAAGATGCGGACTCCACCTGTTTCGTCCGTATGGTTACAGAAGCAGAGGTCGGGCTGTAGAGCTCGGGCAATTGTTGGTACGGGCTCATCGCATGGCTGCTGCCTTCCCCGCTCGCCTTGTGGTCGCGCTGTCTGTGCAGCGGTGCAGGCGCCAGCGCGTCACGGGTTAAAAGGACTGTAGGCGTTTGGCTCTTGAGGCCTGTGCGAAGTAACAGGAGATGGCAGCACAGCCAATAGGTGTGGTTCACAGGTAGATTTCCACTCGCTGAATTGTATGTACGTATGTTGAGCTTCTTTCGCGCACCGCACGCAGCCAACCGTGCCAATCGGAGGCATTGAATCGCATCTGTGTGGAGCTTTGTGTGTCACTGTCGTATTGCAATGTGGTGGGGATTCTCGGAGAAGCCAAACTCCCATTTATGCCATTGGTCACACATCCCAATGTAGCAGAATCCTCTTGACAAAGAGTCTTGAGATTCCTCGGATAATTTTGGGTGACTTAGTATTGAGCTCACCGCGCTGTAAACCCAGTACGCTCGATTCGATTCCCGGCCATGGCTAACATCGGTGGCTAAGCGATATCCGAATCGGTCTCGGGTGCACCTCCTTCTCCTCCCACTTCTTTCACCGACACATGGTGACCAGTACTGTGAAGTATGGTCATATGGCCCGCACGACCCACGCGCCGTAGGGAGTCACCTCATTCATCTATCCGCGCGGTAACGAGAAGACTGACACGCACGTGTGACTCGGATAAATCGTCGCTCCCCACCCCCCCCACCCCTTCCCGTCTCTAATCTCCTCCGTCGCAGCCGCCGCACGCCCGTTTGCTGTCGCCGCGTCAGCATGCCCAGCACGATGGAGACCGGAGCACAGGGAGGGGGCAGCTGGCCCCGGGACGTCGGCATCCTGGCGCTGGAGGTCTACCTGCCGGCGCAGTGCGTGGACCAGGCGGAGCTGGAGAGCTACGATGGGGTGCCGGCCGGCAAGTACACGGTGGGCCTGGGCCAGACACGAATGGGCTTCTGCACTGACCGCGAGGACATCAACTCGCTGTGCCTCACGGTGACGCAGCGGCTAATGGAGCGCGCCGGCCTCAGCTACGGCAGCATCGGCCGGCTCGAGGTGACGCGCACGCACAGACACAGTGACGTGTGCGCGTGCACGTACGCAAGCGCGCACGTACGCGTGCACAGGCACGTACACACGCCCGCGTGCACGCGTGCACGCATACACGTACACGAGCATGTACAGAGGCGTACGCACATGCACACAAGTGTGCGCACACATACACACGAGCTCGCGCAACCCGTAAGGCTCGCAGAAAACCCACAGATGGGCATGGAGACCCGTAGACTTGCAGAGACAGCCACAGACTTGCAGAGATCCACAGTCGTACAGATTCATATCGAGTACCCATCGATAGAGACCCCATGGACTCGCGTGGAGACGCGTGTACGCAAGAGGGGAGAGGTAGGAGGGTGCGTGCTGGGGAGCGGTGAGAGAAGACGGGAGAGGTAGGTAGTGACGGGTGGTGGAGGCAGTGAGTAACGGGGGTGGTGGTGGAGGCGAGTGACGGCAGTGGTGGCTGCGAGTAACGACGGCGTGCGGTCATGCCGGCGGAGCAGGTGGGCACGGAGACGCTGGTCGACAAGTCCAAGTCGGTGAAGACCGTTCTCATGCAGCTCTTCGAGGAGTCGGGCAACACCGACGTGGAGGGGATCGACACGACCAACGCTTGTTATGGCGGCACAGCCGCCCTCTTCAACGCCGCCAACTGGGTCGAATCCAGCGCCTGGGATGGTAAGGGGAGCGTTCCCCACCCCCCCACCCCCCCCCCCCCCGCCCACACATTTACCAAATATATGCAGCCCCCCAATCACCACTAACTAACGTCCTTTAAAAAAACACACAAGTCACTGATTTCCTGCTCGAATGGAACATTGGAAGCAGAGGTCATTTACTGAGCGAGTGGAGGAAAGTCCACATTGCTTTGACGGGGGCGGGGGGGGGGGGGATGAGATGCGTGGGAAGTCCCACGCATGTCATCAAGTACAACCACTCACTGTTGAATTCTCCACAGAGTGGTACTCGCTCTTCACTTTACTGACACCGGGGGGGATGATGGCCCTTCTCGACACCCAAACCGGGATTTGAAATTGCAACCTTCTGATTGCGAGCCACTCCCTCTTCGGCTGAGGCCAAATTTCAACCTGGGAGGTTCAACTGGGATACATGGTGAGCTTGGCATAGTCCCGCCCGTGCATTCACGAGCACCGCTGACTCGACCACTAGCACCGCCCACTCGACCACTAGCACCACCCTCTGCTCTGGTGGCCCCGCCCACTGCTCAGGTAGCCCCGCCCACTCAGTCGCTAGCTCCTCCCTCTGCCAGCAACATGGGTTGAACGTGAGGCCAGAACGTTTTAAACTGGAGACAAAATCCCAATTGACACTCAAAGCTCCCGGGGGGTTGGGGCGGGGTGACACCGGGACAGGCTTTCTGATACTTCTGGGGACTGTCCCGGCCTAAACCCGGGACTGTTTGGCCGCCTCAACCTTCAAACCCACCGCCCACCCCCAGCCAGGGTCACTAGGGGGGTAGGGGTGACATGGGGATATGGAGAGGAGCAGAGTCCGGGTGGGTCCGGTTGCTGTCGCGTGCGTTGCGATGTTGGTCGGGGTGATTGAAGAGGTGGTTGTGTGTGTGTGCCGGAAAATTATCACCGCCGGGCAGTCGTGTGTGCGGTGGTATGCGGTGTTGGGTGGTGGTGTGAGACTTTGAGCAGTGGAGCGTAGAGGTTGAGTGGTTGGTGTTCAGTGTTGTTGAGTGGTGGTCAGTGTTGTTCGAGTGATGGTGGGCACTATGCACTTGATAGATGCACACCCTCGCCCAACAGGTGGACCAATTGTCTTGAATCCAGATCGCGAGTCTTGTGTTGACCCGACGCCCGTGCACCACAGGTCGCTTTGCCCTGGTGGTGGCCGGAGACATCGCGGTGTACGCGACGGGAAGCGCGCGCCCTACGGGCGGCGCCGGCGCTGTCGCCATGCTGGTGGGCCCCAACGCCCCGCTGGTCATTGAGAGAGGTGAGGAGCGCCGCGCGGCCGCGCCCGCACCCACGTCGTAACGAATGCCACGGTGACCCTAACAAGTGTCACGGTCGCAGCACTCGCCGTGTGACCCCCAACGAGCGTCAGCAAAAGGCCACTGTGAATATGGGTCTCTGTGCGAGTCTAGGTGACTGTGGGTCTCTGTGCGAGTCTGTGGGTCTCTGCGTCTGGGTTTGTATTCCTAACAATCACACCCATCAATCGACATTGCGAGATTTTGTGCGAGCGCAACAAAGGCAAAATCTTCGATGTAGCCTCAACAGACGTTTGGTGCAAGTGCTGTTCATGAGGGGGTGGGTGACCAACACCATGCACGATCACCTTTGTCTCCCCAGTGGCGATGTTTATACGCCACACCAGATACTCATTTGAGACGGAGTCGATCTAGAGGAGACCCAGGACCGATTAAGAAAATCGTCACTGCTGTTGCCGTGAGCGGGAATTCAGCTTATACAGCGCGCGAACCGCAACACTGCTGCTCCCCACAAAGGCACTCAGATAGACGCTTAATTTAATTACCTCTAATCGGTATCTAAATCTCCTCCCCAGCACCCGCTGTCCACCCACCCAGTGGTACAAACGGCTCGTCGTGTGTCGCGGGCGGGGTAAAAGTGTGGGTAACACTGTCAGGCCTGCGCACGCCCGCATGTACAGCGCGCGCACGGCTCGCGATGACGCCACTTGCCGCCAACAGTGCTGTGGAGGTTGGCTCTGTGGAATCTTTGACCCGTGTTGTTGCCGCGTCTCTTCGCTCCCGCGTCCCCTCCTCCGTCGTCCTCGTGACGGCGCCGCCAGGCCTACGAGCGACGCACATGCAGCACGCGTACGACTTCTACAAGCCGGACATGCTGTCCGAGTACCCGGTGGTGGACGGCAAGCTGTCCATCCGGTGCTACCTCAACGCCCTAGACCGCTGCTACCACACGTACCGCCGCAAGGCACAGGCGCAGTGGCAGAAAGGTGAGACCCCCCCTCCCCGCCCCCCATGCCACCCTCCCCCCCCCCCGGTTGCTGAGACGAGGGCGCCACGGTGGCTATGTAGATGTTATCTCCCTCGCCGGGTATGCAGGAGGTTTGTGGGTTCAATGCAGACCCCGACGCCTGCTGTATATTTATTTGGAGTTTGCGTGTCTCTCCCTCTCTCTCTGCCCGTGGTCGCGTGGAGTTTTCTTCGGGTCCTCCGATTTTTCCCTCCACGTTTGGAATCGACGTCATGGATTTAAGAGTATTCCGGCTGCTATATATTTCCACGCGAAAGGCCACTTCGTTGAGCTATCATTTGTGATAGCCAGGTCGCGTCTGACAAAGAGCTACGTAGCTCAGTGGGGCCTTACGTGGTAAAATAGAAATGGTCCATAGTTTAGTTGAAAGTTTTATCGTCGTCGTTGTCTGTCTCCGTGGGCTGTAAGACGGGGTGGAGCGGCACTTCACTCTGGCCGACTTTGACCACATGGTGTTCCACTCGCCCTACTGCAAGCTCGTGCAGAAGTCGGTCGCTCGCCTCGCCCTCAACGACTTCCTGTCGGAGCCGAGCTCCGACACGGAGCAGGGCCCGTACGCCGGCCTCGACGCCTTCAGGTGGATGCCCCCACGGTGGCCGGGAGATGTTGTCCTGGTCTCCTCCGGTTTTTCTCTCCACATTTAGAATCAACATAATGCGTTTAGAACATATACATTTCCACGTGATAAGCCACTTCGTTGATTATATCATCTGTGGTCAGGTCGCTTATGAATAAGAAGCTAATAGCTCAGTGGGCTTTACCTGCTAAAATAAAAAATAGTGAAATTATTTTTGTGATTTGCTGACCTCTTGTATACTTTGCACTCCGATTGTGTTTTTGTATTGTTTGTTATTGCAACTGTTTGAGCCGCACCTACTGGACATGTGTGAAACAGAGCTTCATAGCTCACCAACGTCTCCTCGGTCTGCAATCTCACCCGTGTCTCTTTCTCGCCCTCTCTTCGCTCACCCGCGTCTCTCCACCTCCGTGCCGGCAGGACGGTGAAGCTGGAGGACACGTACTTCGACCGCGACGTTGAGAAGGCCTTCATGAAGGCCAGCTCCGAGACGTTTGTCCAGAAGACGCAGCCTTCGCTGCTTGTCTCCAACCTCAACGGGAACATGTACACGCCCTCCGTCTACGGGTGCCTGGCCTCGCTGCTAGCGCAGTACGTTCCGCGACCATCGCCGTCACTACCATCACCATTGTCATCGTCGTCATTGTCATCGTCATCGCCATAATCGTTGTCATCTTCACCACCCCCTAACACCACCTCATCCCCCGCACCCCCCCAACCCAGAAATTGTTCGGGCGATCTCTTGTTGTTTAACTTCATTTGTTTTAATTGAAGGGACAGGTACGTGAAGGGGGCATATTGACCGCTTGTTCATTCGGTTACTTCTCGTGATTAGTTAGTTGTCCTTGCCCCGCACCTCCGATTAGCACGGGTGGCTACGTACGGTGTGAAAGAAGTTCAAAATATATACATACGTCATCATCACCATCGTCATTGTCATCACCGTCATCAAGTACCACAGTCGTCAGCCGGGCAGTGGTGGCGCACGCACGACTGATCCAGGCAAGGGTTGGTGGATCACCGCGCAGGTTCTATGAAACTGCCCTCGGTGTGGAGGGACGTCGGGCAAACTGCAGGGGCGACACCTTGACCCGCGTCTTCACAGTCCAAGGCAAATACTCGCCAATGCAAATACTCCAGTGCAAATACTCGCCAACGAATCGACGCTTCGCGAACAATAATGCCGCCACACATGCCTTACGATTGGTTAATGCAGGATGCCGGCGTGGGTTGGGAAAGAGTGGGGTAGGTGGTGGGGTGGGGGGGGGCGTTGAAGGTTATTGAGGGGGGAGGTCGCGATGACCGGGGTCTGTGTAACCCCCTAGAGTGGCGGTGTAGCGGTTGGCGCGCAGCGCCACGAAAACGGCAACCCAAAAGTTTGATTCTCGCTCACGGCCACCAACATCGGTGACGAATACCTGAACAGGTCCTGGGCCTCGCCTAGGTCGACCCGGCCTTAATTGCGTAACCGGTGCGGTGTGCGTAAAACTTAAGCTATGGAGAGAAACAAAGGCGGCCGGGCGTGGTGCTGGTCACCCACCCCTTTGTGTGCTGTGCCTGCCTTGTTAGGTGCCACTCGCTAAGAGCACTTTGCCCCGACAGAGGCTACACGGGGGGTGGGAGGGGGGACCTTTGTGTTTGTGCGACGTACGTGAGAGATATCCGATGCTGTGCCAGGAAGAATGAAAAAAAACAACAAAAAATCCCGACCACCCTTTCACCTAATTCTCCCAGATCGCGGGCAGATTAGAGAGAAAGGAAAAAGTAAACCACCGGCACCCCACGCGTTGCACAATTCGGGCAGGGCCGGCGCGCGGCGGTCTCCCGCGGACCCCCCCCCCACCCCCCATCGGCTTGTTGTTGCAGTAACCTGAGGCGTGGGAGAACGTCCGGGTCGATATCAACGAGGGGGCCCCCCCCCCCCCATCCTGTCACACCGTGTGGAAACAACTATTTGGCGGCGGCATGCTACCGCCGCCGCGTTTGTTGCAGGAGGCTCGCGGTTTGGATGAAGGCGGGCCGCCCTGGTTATTACCGCGGCGTGTGCACGCTTATTAGCCTTCTCTGGATAGCAGACGATGATCACGCGACGTCGCCCGACGTCCGTTCTGAAAGTGGGGAGCGGTGGCGGCTAAGTGGTCAGCGCTGCGCTTCGAATCCGACGACCCGAGTTCGATTCCCGCTCTCGAACCAATAACAGTGACGGCTAATGTCTGGGCCTCCCCTAGGTCGACTCAAATCAGTGCGGTGGTGTGTAAATGTCACAATTGGGGAGACAAAGGTGACCGGGCGTGGTGCAAACCACGCCACTCCCTTGTGGACCGTGTTGGCTTTCATCGGTGCTGCTCGCTGACAGCACTTGTCTAAACGGTCTGTTAAAGGCTATACGGGGGATCTTTGTCTTTGGTGGTGGCAGGAACTGTGCGCAGGCGCTGGCGGGGTCTCGTGTGGGCGTCTTCTCCTACGGATCCGGCCTCGCCGCCTCCATGTACTCGCTGCGAGTATCATCGGATGCCACGCCAGGTTCCGCCAGCACCGCCACCACGACCACCGCACAACCACACAACCGCTACCACCACCAAAGCACCACCGCCACGCACGCACAAACACCACTCACGATCTTGTCACCACAGCGATCACACAAACACTACCACCGCCGCACAACCACACAACCGCTACCACCAAAGCACCACCGCCACGCTCGCACAAACACCACTCACTATCTTGCCACCACAGCGATCACACAAACACTACCACCGCCACACAACCATCGTCGCCACCACCACCAACAAAAGTACCGCTGCCAGTCGCACAAACACCACTAGCTTAGTCCATACCAAAACCAATACTCGCCATTCGTCACTAAGTGACGGTGATGTCACCACGGCACCCATGCCAGGCCATGTGCACCTTGAGGCCACGTGAAGTGTCGAACGCCCGCTGGCAGGAGGTCACGGGGCAGACCCAGGTGCCAAGGGTCGACTGACTGAGATGACTGGCTGATGCACCACCTGTGCCCCCTACTGTGCCAACTTGCTGTGCTTTAGCCACCCGGCGCTCCGCTCGTTGTGAGCGTCGCTCCTCCGCCCTCCGTTGTTGTTGGAGGGCAACTGCCTCCAACTGCCCAGTAGCGTCCTTCACGAGCCTCCTCCACAGAGGCCAATCTTGACACCGATGGTACCAGTCATCGGCACGTTAACTCAGCTCCACGTCCTCCTGTACCACATCACTCCATCTCTTCTCTAGCCCGTGCTGCGCCCGTTTAGCCCCCTCGATCCGGCCGAACGAAAGCTGTTTCGGCATGCGGTGGCTGGGCATGCGGGCTACATGACCCAGCCAACAGAGCCTTGCCTGCCGGAGGAGCTCACCGATGAGACCTTGCCCAGGTCTTTCAAGGATTTGTGAGCTCCTCACACCATCTAGCCTGGTTAAACCCAGGATGGATCGTAGGCAGGCTAGCCTAAATGTTTATAACCGGCAAAGATGCTCCATTAAGGGGGTCCACGTTTCGCAAGCGTAGAGAAGAGAGGGAATGACCGTGGCCGAGAAGACCTGAAGCTTAATGCGGAGCGACAGACCAGGTAGCTTCCACACAGTGTTACGCAATCAATGAAAAGATATTACCGCTCGACTGATTCGGAGTGAGACCTCTGCTGTTAAACTGGAGCCGGTCATAAGCACACTGCCCAGGTATGGGAAACTCTCCACTCTCTCCACAACTGCCCCATCACCGATTGGGAGTTGTGGGAGTGGAATGTCCGATAGTACAAAATACCCAGGCAGGTGCTTAGTTTTGGTGGGTCTAATGGTAAGGCCCCATCTCTTAGTGGTACGCTCCAGTCTCAGCAGCAGCGTCTCCAACTCCTCCTCTGAATGAGCGGCTATTACCAAATCATCGGGATACATAACGTGGTTGAGCAATAGGGAGCCATCCCTTGACCGCACCCGGGCATCGATCAGCCTCCCATTATATCTGTACCAAATGGAGATTCCCCCAGTACAGCTATTGAAGGCTTCACGAACTACGTGGTCAAAATAGATGTTAAATAATGTGGGAGCCAGAGGACATCCCTGTCGCACCCCAAGGTGTACAAGGAATGGCTCTGACTCCCGGCCACGTAGTTTTACCCGGGCCCGCTCACCATCATGAAGGTCCTTAATGATCGTGAGCAGGGGGTCAGGGACTCCAAAAGCACGAAGAACAACCCAGAGCCCAGGCCTACTGATGGTATCATAGGCCTTGACCAGGTCAATAAAGCAGAGATGTAGGTCTTGTTGGAATTCCCTACAGCTCTGCTGTAGCAGACGGACAGAAAATATGGCATCTTAGTACCACAACTATCACACAAACACCACCACCACTGCACAACTGCCACCACCACCACGTTCACGTTGCCACGGTCACACAAATACCACTACGTCCACGTTCACACAACCATGACCATACAACCACACCTCCCACCATCACCGAGATCACACCACCATCACGACCGCCGTACCGCCATCACCACACGACTATGATCACACAACCAACACAACACACACCCACCACTACACCACCATACAACCACCACAGCCACCAGAACCACCCCACTCCTACCACACCACCACCACCAGGCTTGCCCACACCACCTGCATGCAACAGAGACGTTCGCAGTTCGAGCCCAGCGGCCACCCTGGTTAATAGCGCAGAGTGTGTGTGTACTTACTCAAATATTTACATGCGTTGGTGTGTACTCACTCGCTCACGCGCATGTGTGTACTGTGCGGGGAGCAGTAGTGTAGCAGTTCCGAACCAGGCGACCTATGTTCGATACACGCTCACGGTCACCAACGCCGGAGACGATTATCTGAAATGGTCTTGGGCCTCCCCGAGGCCGATTTGGCCTCAAATGAGTACCTGGTGCGATGTAGAAACCTCGCCACTGGCCGGACGTGGTGCTGGCCACCCCAGCTCCCCTCAAGTGCCGTGCTGTGCTGGCCCTTATAGGCGCTGCTCGTTAACAGCCCTTGCTCACCAACAGTCTGTTGAAAGGCTACACGAGGGATCTTTGTGTGGTGGTGGTGGTGGTGGTGCAGGCTCGAGTCTGGAGCGCCTGCTGTGCTCCCTGTCGGACCTGCCCGCGCGCCTCTCCGCGCGCACCTGCGTGCCGCCCCAGGACTTCGCTTCTGCCATGAAGCTCCGCGAGGAGACGCACCACCTGGGTAAGCGAACTCGCGCACACAAACACAAAGCTCCCCTCCCCCACCCCCTCGCAACTGGCACCGGGGCAAGTGCCGTCAACGAACACCGACGAAGGCCCAACAACACGGCACTGATGCCGGTCAGTGCAAATTTGTGGAGGTGGGGGGGGGGAGGTGGGGGGGTGTGGGGGGAGGGCGAGGGGGTGGCGAGGGGGTGGAGGACAGAACTTGTACCAATGCAACGAGCCAAATGATGTAAGTTGCTGTGTCTGGGAAATAAACTCTGATCACTGGGTTCAGAGCGCAGTACTCAATCCACTGCAAAAGACAACCCCCCCCCCCCCCATATAGCCTTAACAGACTATATGGTGGCAAGTGCTGTTTGCGAACACCTATGAAGGCTGGCACCGGTACACGATGGGGTGGGTGGCCAGGACTATGCCTGGCCACCTTTTTCTCTCCCCGGTGGTGATGATTACACGCCACACAAGGTACCCATTTAAGGCCGAGTCGATCTATGGGAGGCCCAGGATAATCGGTCATAATAACCGCTGATTTGAAACGTTCCCGGGATCTTTGTCTTTGTGTGTTTTTTTTGTGTTCGTAACAAAACAAACCCAACACGTTCGTCAGTAACTCTGCGTGTGGCCTTACAAAGATAGAAGTAGACATTAGGCGACATTTCAGGCAATGGGCCTTCTTCAGAGCCCACAGGGAGACGTGGAGTCTGGCAGCGGCAGCAGTTAATACCCGAGTAATTCGTGGTTTGCGTAATTAGGGTGTTTAAAATCGTTACATGTACAAAACCGGTTTGCCGCACATGTAGAAAAGTCTATAGCAGTAAACGTCTCCTGTTTAGCTTTTTGTTATTATCATCGTTGTAACAACGCCGGCTCCTCTCGTTTAGCCGGGAGAGGTCACTCGCCGAGTCTCTTGATGAGCGGAGGGAGGTGTGGCGCCTGGGACAAATGTGGACGGGGAGTGGGCAGCACGGATCGCTGGATGAGGATGGCATTGACAGGAAGTATTGGTTAGCTGAAGAGTGCGTGGAGGGGAGTAGAATGAAATGAGAGTGAAGAGGTAGGAGAGAGTGTGGAAGGGGGGGGTAAGAGTGAGATGAGAAGGGAGAGGTAGGAGAGTGTGTGGAGGGGAGTAGAGTGAGATGAGAGGGGAGAGGTGGGAGAGTGAGTGGAGGGGAGTGGAGTGAGATGAGAGTGAAGAGGTAGGAGAGAGTGTGGAAGGGGGGGTAGAGTGAGATGAGAGGGGAGAGGTAGGAGAGTGCGTGGAGGGGAGTGGAGTGAGATGAGGGGAGAGTCTTGCGGTTGTTCCGGTACAGGGACTGGGAGCCGGCCCTGGTGGGGGGTGCAGGGGGATTGTGAGGAGCCCGGCAGAGCATGCCGCCCCCGACCGCGCACATCGCCTCGGGGGGGGGGGGGGGGGGGGGGGGGCGCCCCAGCTGGTGGGGGGGGTGATTGGGGGGACGTGAGTTGCGCGCTGTAGGTGGCGCTCCAGCGCTGCTGCGCTGTAAACTCCGCAAACCATCTGTCGTCAGCGATATCTTATCCTCCAATAGCGTCCTTCACGAACCTCCTCCACACACCCTCTTGCACACACACGCCCGTCACCAACCCCTGTTCGGCCTCGTCGTCCCTCCCAGCCCCCTACACCCCCCAGGGCGCGGAGGAGGGGCTCTTCCCCGGCACGTGGTTCCTGGTGCACGTGGACGACAAGCACCGGCGGCGGTACGAGCGGCGGGCGCTCGCCCAGGACGGGCCCCTCGACCTGTCGCCCGTCGCCAGCGCCACGCCTGTGCCGCCCGAGGTGCGGGGGTGGGGTGGGTGTGTCAGTGAGTCGGTCAACCGATGGCGCCCGAGTCTGTCGCGTCACCTCCTGCCAGCGGGCATTCGACACTTCACGTGGCATTAAAGTGCACCTGGCCTGGCATGGGTGCCGTGGTGACATCACCGTCACTATTGGTTTTGGTATGGAGCGGTAGTTAGTGCGCTGCGCTATGAACCCGGCGACCCGAATTCGATTCCAGCTCACGGTCACCAACACCGGTGGCGATGATCTGAACTGCTGCGAGGCCTCCCCTTGGTCGACTCGGCCTCAAATGAGTACCTGGTGCGGTGTGTAAACATCTCCACTGGTGAGACAAAGGTGGCCGGGCGTGGTGCTGGCCACCCCGCCGGCTTTTGTGCTGTGCCGGCCTTCATAGGTGCTCGCGAACAGCACTTTCCCCAACAGTCTTAAGGCTACACGGGGGATTCTTTGTCTTTGCGCAGGTTCGTGCATGTGAGTGTGCGTGAGAGCATGTGTCTGGGAGAGTGTGTGTGTGTGTGTAACTGTGTGACGTGACCGGCTGTCGGTGCGAGTGTGCGACAGCAGTCAGACTGTTGCGGCAGTGGTCTGTGCACTGCGCCTCGGACCCTGCGAGCCGAGATCAACCCCCCCCGTCCCCCCCCCCCGTGTCGCATGGTGGAGCAGGTTTCCAGCAGCCCGCTCAAGAAGGTCCCTCGCACGCCGAGCGCCGGAGTCGAGGGAGCTGCAGTGGAGAGCAACGGAGAGCACTAAGCGAACTCCCCTCGCTCACCGATCGCCGCTCGCCCACCCGCCCGCCTCACCCTGTCCAATCGCTTCACCTGTACGCTTGCCATTTGGCCTGTAACGATTCGCCCCCCCCCCCCCCCGCCCGCGCGGGTTCGTGTGTTCTAACGTCGTCGCGCGCCGCGTCCCGGTATTTACACAGCAAGCCGGTCGAGTCTCGAACTGCGAGTCGGTTTGAAATCGACCGCCCGGTCCGCTCCGTCTCCTGACCCCGCCGCCTTTCCCCACTATTCCCATGCCTGCGTCATCTCCTCCCCCACCGCCTCACCCCTACCCTCCTCGTCATCTTTCACCCCGTCCCCTCACCTCACCCGCTCACCTCTCTGCTTATCTGCCTGCCATCGTCGCCCTGCTTCTTGTTTAGAGAAACCCACGTCATCTCCTCCCCCACGTTCCCGCCCTTCCCGTGCGGTTTACCCCGCTGCCCGCTGCTGATGCCAGGCCCCGTCAACAAAAAAAGCCAGGCTGTGACTGCAGGCGGTGCAGACACGTGTGCCCAGTAATCACGGATTAATTGCTACCTAGGTTAGAGAGGGGGAAAAGAGCGCTTTTACCGTTGGAAGCATGAAGCAGCATTTCATTTGTACTGTATAGCACAAACGTATCTTGTGATTACCACGAGCACGTGGTGAATTTGTATATATTATAATAATAGTACTATCTCTTTGGTTGCTGTAGATGTGCCTGCCGATTGCCACCGCCCCCCCGTCGTGTTTGTGACGTCTCTACCAACTGTTACTCTGTCCAGAGAGTGCGGCGCGTGGTACTGTCGGCTGCGGATATCAAGGTCTTGTCTACCACAGTAAAATCCCATTTACTCGATCCGAGCTGTGTGTGCGGTGTCCCTGTGTGTGCGGAGTGTTGCTGGCCACACCGGCCTTCACAGTTGCTGCTCTACAAGCACTTGCCCCTAAACAGCCTGTGGGCAAGGCTGCACGGGGGGCCTGGGTGGAAAATATTTTTGTGCGTGGGAAGTGGTGGCGTTGGGGATAGCATGCCGCGCAACAAATCCCGGGCGGCCAGAGTTCAATTCCCGCTCGTGCCCATTAAGTGGCGAATATTTCACTTGGTCCTGAGCCTCTCCCCTAGGCAGACTCGGACTAAAATGAGTAACTGGTGGTGTGGAAACATCGGCCCCTCCTGTGCCCTGCCGGCCTTCACAGGGTGCTGGCCAACAGCACTTGGTCCAACAGCCTGCGCAGGCTACACAGGGGACCTTAGTCTTTGTCGTGTAAACCCAGACTTTACACGGTAACACGAAAAAATCAAGCGGCACTGATACAAGAAAATCCTATCGATATGTTTATTTACGGTTACAACTTTGCACAAAAATGGGGTGGGAGGGAAGAAGAGGGGGTGGGGTGGGTGGGGGGGGAAGAAGAGGGGGTGGGGGGGGGGGAATAAGAGGGGGTGGGGGGGGGAATAAGAGGGGGTGGGGGGGGGAATAAGAGGGGGTGGGGGGGGGAATAAGAGGGGGTGGGGGGGGGGAATAAGAGGGGGTGGGGGGGGGAATAAGAGGGGGTGGGGGGGGGAATAAGAGGGGGTGGGGGGGGGGAATAAGAGGGGGTGGGGGGGGGAATAAGAGGGGGTGGGGGGGGGGAATAAGAGGGGGTGGGGGGGGGAATAAGAGGGGGTGGGGGGGGGAATAAGAGGGGGTGGGGGGGGAATAAGAGGGGGGGGGGGGGAATAAGAGGGGGGGGGGAATAAGAGGGGGTGGGGGGGCAGGTGGGGGGGGAGAAGAGGGTGGGGCGGGTGGTGGGGGGGAGAGAAGAGGGGGTGGGGGGAATTTGGTGGCTTGCTGTACAGATGGTGCTTTTATGGGTGGGCGAGGGAAGGGGGGGTGTCATCTCCAGAGTCATGTCGCATGTGTAAATGTACAACGGGGGGGGGGGGGGGGGGGGGTCGACGCGCGACATCAACTAAACCGTGCGCCCAACTCGACACCCAACGGCGGCTGCTGCTGCTTTTCCATCAGCCACGCAGTGCGTGGCAAACTGGAAAATGCTGCGCGACGAGTCGGGGGGGGGGAGGGAGCGTGGAGGTGGGGTGTAGTATTATATTGCTCAATACTTTGATTAAAAGAGTATTATTAATAAGTCGAACGTCCACCAACGGCAGCCGCGAGATTTCGCGGGCGGAAGTGAAAATGTGCTCTCGGCGAGCGGAGAAACTGACGGAACGCCGGGCAGTTATTAGTAAAATCGATATCACGCCGTTACATTTTGCATAATATATCCTGCAATCCGATCTCGGTTTCACTTCACAGGGTGGCGAGTGTACATGAATTCTACATATACGGGCTTGTGCGTGTGTGTGTGTACACGTGTGTGTACACGTGTGTACGACACGACCACCTACAGCAGTATAAAAGCGTAACACCTTGAGCGGTAATTCACATTGAGAGAAAGCGCTCGCGCAGATACGGCGGCTGCCACCTCCGAATAATACGCACAAAAAAAAAACACGGACGGTAAGAAGACTGATCTCTCTCGGTGCCCAGCAGAGAGGAGGAATCCCGAACGACCGGCGATGTGCCGGTCGTAGGCACCACAGACAAAACACCAGGGACACGGTCAACATACATAGGAAGACTTCGGGACAGATTTCCCCCCACGGGACAGCTGCCATGGACAGAAGAGGATCCTGGGAAAACCAGGGATGGGGTGGCAACCTTCCTGCTCGCCGCCGCCGCCGCTACTTTGACAGGAATACCGGCGCGCGAGCCGAAGCCACGATCGAGCGTGGCAGCGAGGTGTCGGAGCTCACCGGCGTGGCACACCGCGGCGTGTGATTAAAAGTTTTACCATAAAAAAGGTGATGCACCCCCCCCACCCCCCCCACTGTAACTGGCTCATGGAAAAGCACCTACCCCACGCCCCCTCCCCCGACTCTGCAGTTTTTTTTTGGGGGGGGGGGGCGGGAGGGAGGTCGATGGTAATGCTGCGTCGAATGATCGCGACCCCGGTTTCAGGCGCCGCGTGGGCGGCTGCGTGCGTGGCTGCGTGCGGCTCCTCACACCTGCTGCATGGGCTTCAGGTCCGGAGAAACCTGTGCAGGGGGGAAGGGGACGGCGTCCGTTAGCGACCAAACCACCCGACGCGAGGACGACGAAGCGTACTTGTTTTTTTTTGTGAAACGAAATTTTGCACGAGGCCACGTAACCATCCGGTCGGATCGATGGCATATGAGAGCCCTCCACCACCCGACGTTGGGTTACGTCAGGCGGTGGAGGGTCGGCCAGAAAGCGGTGCCAACAATTGCCCGACGCTCTGCGTCCCTATATTGGCTGGACGTTTGGCCTACTCCACGGGAACATCGTAGGAGCACCGCTGCCCCGGCCGCTTCCCAACTCGACATTCATGGTTGTTCAAATCCGAGTTATTCAAGTTCAAAAATAAAGCGGCCAATCGGACACTCCCGTTGCATCGACGTGGCGCGCCGCCAACGTTTTTCAGACGCGCTGAGTGCAACGGCACCACGGGTGTCCGTCCCACGAGCGTCTCTGCACTGCACCAACGATGAACACATCCCCTCCACTCCGCCGCCCTCCAGGAACAGAAACTAAAGCGTAACCTGGAAATCAATCGTTTATGCAGGTTCAGGCAAAGGCAACCACTAACGCTCCCCCCTACGACGCCTCGGGAGCCGCCCTCCGCTCGACCGCGTCTACGGGTCATGCCACGCGCCGTCGGGCACAAAGTCCAACGACGTTTCGCTTTCGCGGTGGGCCGAGCCAGCTTTCTGCGAAATCGGATCCTGAAGATGGTCCCGAGGCACGGAGTGAAACGTCGGGTGCCACGGCCACAAGATGTGACCTACCACGCCTGGTATACAGGAGGTTGTGGGTTCAATCCCCCGACCCTGCTGCCTGCTGCTGCATAATTGGAGTTTGCGTGTGTCTCTCTCTTCCTGTGGTCACATGGATGTCTCTGGGTCCTCCGGTTGGTTTTTCCCTCCAAATTTAGAATCAACATTGCGTTTAGAGTATTTGGCTGCTGTACATTTCCACGTGAAAAGCCACCTCATTGAGCTGTAATTTGTGATAGCCAGGTCGCTTCTGAAAAAGAGCTACATGGCTCAGTGGGCCTTACCTGGTAAAATTTAAATGAAAAGTTTTAGTAATTGTGCCCAACCACAGCCCCCCCCCCCCCCGCTCCCACCCACCGCTCCGCCAAAGCACACCGCAACGCTGTGAGAAAGCATCCTTTTTTATCCGTGACCGCCAGGAACAACAATCCTTGGGGTGACACGTGTCGCGTGTCTCGTGCAACTGCATGCCACCGCTTCTGTTACGTGACGTTAGATGGACGTTACACAATGCTATTGTGATGAGCCACGACGCCCTGCTGCCAAAAGTCAACAGCCAGCTGGGGAGGTGAGCCCAACGCTGCGTTCAAATCCAAGCGCCGGGGTTTGTTTTCAGGGATGGATGGTGGAGATAGGGAGAGGTGGGTGTGGGGGGGGTGATTCATGGAACTCCTCTACCGGCTTAATCTGACACCGATGCCTCTGCTGTAGTGGAGCTGCACAAGCGAGTCGTGGTGGTGGTGGTGGTGATGGGGAGCGGTGGTGTAGCGGTTAGCGCGCCATGGTGTGAACCCGGCAACCCGTGTTCGATTCCCGTTCACGGCGGGGTGTGTAAACATCGCCACTAGGGAGACAAAGGCGGCCGGGCGTGATGTTGGCCACCCACCTCCTCGTGTGCCGTGCCAGCCTTCATAGGTGCTTGCTAAACAGCACTTGCCCCAACAGGCCTGTTAAGGCTATACGGGGGATCTTTGTATTTGGTGGTTGTTCTTGTCTGGTAGTGGGTGACTCAACAGGAATGCAATTGAGGCAGCCAAGTCGGGCCACACTTTGACAAGTGAGCATTTCATGAACGCTGTCCAACTAAGGTTGAAAGCGTTCGTGTATTAGCTCTGTCCGTCTGTAACGTGGGGGGGGGGGCGGCGTGGGGTGGGGGTACGGTGTCTCCATCCGAAACCGTAATAGAAACTTCGTGTTGCTATTTGGAACTCGCCCGACAGAAAACCGGCCACGTTAATCGCAGAGTGAATAAAAAAACGAGCGGGGTGACAACGCGAGTGAGCCGCTTGTGGCGGAGCCGCTATCCGAAGCCCAACGTCTCACGGCGGCCTACAGTCGGTATTGCTCCAGAGCCACGCCCCGTGACCTCCCGTCCAGCGATATTTATTTACACGGATGGTGACCTCGTCGCGTGGCCGAAGGCAGGGGTGGGTGAGGGGAGTGGGTGAGGGGGGTGGGGGAGGGACGGGGTTGGGGGAGGGCAACTGACCTGGAAGCCGCTGCCAGTGCAGGCCTTGATGTCCTCGACGGAGAAGCCATTCCACACCTCGGTAAGAGTCAGGCCCTGGTCCTTGTCCACGTCAAACACCGCCTGGGACAGCCGCAGCAGTAACAGCGTTGCATCGTGATGAGAGGGCAGCACAACAATGACGACAACAAGGGGTGTTGCTGCTGCACCGGGTCCCCGCGGCTTAGCACGTTGCGCCGCAGCCTGCCGCGGGTGGTGGGCGCACATCCGAGCACGAGATGCTTAGCTTGCAAGATGCGGTGAGACTCGAGGGCATTCTGGGCCTCGACCCACCATAAGTGGCGGTGACGTCACCATGTAGCTTGTGGCAGGCTAGGTGCACGTTGAGGCCACGTGGATAAATGCACAAGCAGACTCGCTCGCAGCTACAGCCAAACGTACACCCAACGGGGCGTCCCCAGGCAGCACCAACCTCCGTCACACGTCCGTCACACGTCCGTCACACAAACGTCATTACGCATCACCAGTGCATCACCACTCATCACTACACCT